TCATTTCACAGGCCCAAGCTAAAACGGAAGCCCGTCCTTCAGATTTTTGTCTGTCCCCATCCTTATCCTGCTGTAACATGACTCACTCAGCTGGCTGGCAGGGGCATCCAGCTCAACCTCAGCAAAGGAGCCGGGCTGCACCGGGGGCTCGACCCGCCAGCTCCCACCTCCTCCTCCGGCAGTGGCTCCACCTATATCCCCATCCTCATGTCCAGTGCACCTCAAAGGCAGGAAGTGTTTCCCAGTGAAGGAAGGAAGGCCCCTCAGCTGCGCCTCCTGCTCTCACTGCCTGGCCTCAGGGGACACCTGGTCATAGTTAAAGCCCAGCCATGAGCTCCAACTCCTGCCAGCCTCAATGACTAGGCTACTCGGTTCAGATTCCTCATCTGCAGACCCCAAGGGCAGCATATCCCCAAAGGGCTACAAGGGCCGAGGACACTGGCTGAGCACAAGCTCGATGACGCAAGGGCTCCCCACCTCGATCTGTTATTTCTCAGGAGCCCCTAGGGTAGTGCCTCCGGGATTCTCCCCGACCCTGAGCACAGTGTATCTTGAAGGTCTCCACAACCATTGTGACTCGAAACACCTCTCAATCTCTCTGCTTCACCATCTGGTTGGGGCCCCCATCATGCCCACTTTATAATGGCATGGTGGTGCATGAGAAAGTGCTGAGTGGGTAGGAGCACTCACCCCTGACATACACCCATGTCACCAGCCTCCTCCTGGCCTTGGCCTCTGCCTCAGAGAGGTAGGTTATCTGAGCAGCACCCAAAGGCCCCTCTCCCTAGCCTAATCCGACCGTCTTAGTCTCCAGGCCCCCCAACTGTGCACCTCCTGATAACTCTCCCCACTGTCGGGGTTCCGCCCCCAGGTCTGACTTCTACAAACAATGACATCAGCTATTTTCTGCTAGTTTTACAGCTTTAGGTTACGTCGTGCTCACTGGGTGTCTCGCTCAAAAGGGAAGGCTTGAAATGCAAGAGGAGCCTGTTTTCGTTTAAAAACACCAAACGTGCACGCGTGTGCATATGCACGCGCACACACAAACAACTACAAAATAATTCACCAAAATCCTCTTCCCTCCCCAACTGAGGAAAAAACCCTGATGGAATTTATCAGGCCAGGTGACCGTGGTGCCACTTCAAGATTTTGTGAGCACAGAAAACAAAACCAGCAATGATCCCAGCAGCAAGAGCAATATATGAGCACCAGCTGTGTACTCAGACTCACTCATTCAGTGCTCTCAGCGCACCTGGGGATGGCAGGCTGACTCTATGCCCCTCACTCACACTGCTGACTCAAGGTCAAACATCAGAGGAAAGTGGTGAGAAGCCCAACAGAACCATCCATAACTGCAGCACCTGGGTACCGGCTAGCCTCTTCTTAACAGGAAATCTGTCCCATATCTCCAATGAAAAGAGCCCCCAGGGGGCTGCAGCAATTGACCCGACCCATCCCCAGGTGAGGCCCTGCAGGGAACATCTCCCCTAGGGCCCTGCAGGGAACATCTCCCCTAGGGCGAAAGGGAAGAGGAAGGGGACAGGGGCAGGTTAACATCTGGGTTCCAGGCAGGGCCAACAGTTAGGAGCCCCAGAGCCTAGAACCTCACTACTGAGTCCTAACAAGAAGCTGCTGCTGCTGGGCTCCTCAAACAAGTCTCTGAAAAATCAAGTGCTTCTGCATGTGGTTTTAGGGTCCTCATAAATAGGGCCAATTCTTGGGGCAAAAACAGTTTGAGGCCTATGAGCAATGCTGCCTCACACAGGTGGGGTCCGGAACTCAGAAACTGGCCGGAGGGTGGAGGGAGGGGTGGCAAGGTGCCAAGCAAATGAGCATAATTTGACCCAGAGTTCTGCCGCAGGCCCCCCGAGACAGAGAGGAAGTGGCTGGTAGGCTGTATCCATTCCAGGAAGCTCCACCAGTCTGGTCTCCCGGGCTTATCCGGGGCAGCAGTTGGCACCACACCAGAGAGCAGCACCCACTGACCACTGGCACCGAAGCTGGCCTGAGACCCGGGCCCAGGCAGCCGGTCAGCCTAATAACTTGGAGCCTGGCCCCCACCTGTCAAACACTGCAGCACTCATTGGGCATTTGGAGCCTGAGCCCTGGCTGCAGGTGGGCTGTCTCCTAGGATGGCAGCCACTGACCACGGCCTTGCTCAGGTACCAAAAGCACAGGATGGTGTGGCCCTGCTGGTTGGGAGAGCAGCTCCCAACAGGGCTGACCACCGAAGGGTGTCCAGTCACTCTGTGGGTTCTTGTCCTGCCTTAGTCTTATTCGTCTAAATCCACCCAGCGCACACAGGGGACCCAAGGTTTTGTGGGCACTCGATGGTCGGTCACGGGGCTTGTTATTCAGCACCCTCCTCCCTGACTCCTTAAAGTCCAGATGTCCTCTGGGCTCAGTGTGAGCTGCCTCCCCACAGTCAGCCCCACCCCAGGCAAGGCCCCCCACGATGGCCTGTGCCTCTGCATCCTAACATTTCTTCATTTCTTGACACTTTCTTCACTCCTAATGACAGATGGGGTCTCACACCCAGGTTGTGTCAGTCCTCTGGGGGCCTGAGAATCTGCCTTTCTGACCTGTTTCCAGGGATGCTGCAGCTGCTGATCTGGGGATCCCACTTGGAGTACCAGGGGGTGACTTCACAGTACAGAAGTCACCTTTATGGGGCTCCAAGAAAACAAATGTGTGTGACCTGACAACCCAAACCACGTGAGAAGACTGACCTCACTTCCAGGATGCACTAAAACGCTGAGCAGTTCAGGTCGACAGAGGCTCTAAACCCACCCACATCCCCACCGCTGGCCACTGAGGGAAAATGAAGCAATTCCCAGAGGGAGGGAGTTGTTCAGGTTGGATTCCAGTCTCCCTAGGAGCAAAGAGAGGTGCTCCAATTCAAGAGACTGCCACCCGTGGGAGAAGCAAGACATGAAATTTGCAGTCCAGGGCAGGGAGGTGGTGGACGCAGGCCCTCATGCCCCTCCCCCACCTCTGAGTCACTGATTTCTTCCAAAAGAAATTACTAATAGGTTAGCATTACATTTTCAAATTCCCTGTGACCAGTCCTGGAACATGTTCCCATTTTAACCGGGTCTGGGTTAGGCCTGACCACACAGAGTTCACCCCAGCCCAGGGTGGTGGTGTCGGCAAGCGTCTGGAACAGGGCTGACACATTCATTTCAAAACACGCCAGAGAGAGGCAGATTTAGTCAACTCTAAAATCTGCCAACACCCTGAGTCCTGGGGTAAGCAGGAAACCCCATAAATAGTGACTCCCTTCTTTATAGGGCTCTTTGGAAGCAAGAGTCTTGGAAAGCAGGCAAGTTCCCAAAGGGCCTCCTAAGCCCAAGAATAGCCAGGACTGAAATTCTCGAAGTTCTGCCATGCTGTGTGACCTTGGGCAGGTTACTTAGTGTGTCTGAGCCTATTTCCTCATCCACTAAATAGGAATACTGCCTGCCATCTGCTCTGTGGCTGAGTTATAGAAACACAGCATCTGGCACCCCACCAAGGATTAGTATTAATCTGACTGGTCATTGCTAAGTGTGACGATCTGCTGCAAACAGATAAGACTATATTTCCATTGCTGGCTAAATTCAGATATATGCGTACATCTGTGGCCTGGAAACTCTTGCCCCACCCTAAACCCTCTGCTCCTCCAGCAGTTATACTAATAAAGAAGAAAAAGCAGAGAAACCCGTCTGCAGTCGCTGTACCTGAGGGGTAGGGGACATGTGTAGCATTCAACCCAACACTCTCATTGATAGTTGTAAACGGAGTTCAGAGACGCTGTCCGACTTGCTGAAAGTCACGCAGCAGTCACCAGGAGAGTGGTGTAAGGACGTCCAGGTCTCCTAAGTCCCCCTCTGGTTGAGTATGCTGTGGCTACTCAATCAGGGTCTTCGATCCTGACTGCCCATGAGAAGTTCCACCCAAGCTCCCTGACCTGCACTATGCTCCCACTTTGCTGGGTCTGGGGGAGGAGACTGGGCATTAGTCCGAACCAGGTGATTCCAAGGTACAGCCAGGGCTGAGACTCACCAATGAGGACGAACCCCGTAGGGCCCCACTCACCATAAGCATGCCTAAGATGCAAGTCTACTGGGAACCCCTGAAAAGGAGGGGATAGGTGTATGGGGGACACTGTCCCACATCTCTAAACCAGACTGTCATTCTGGAGTGGGACCTTGAACAGGTATCTGGGCTAAGGGTTTCTCACACAGGACTTGCAGGGAGCAGTGTCCATGAATGCTAGCGCCAAGCACCCTGGGCAGGCAGGCCAGATGGCCCCCAGCTCCCCAGCCTCCACGCCTCATTACACCTGACCTGAGCTACAGAACGTGTGTGTTCACATCTCCCTCCTACTGGGTGAGGCCACCCCAGGGCAGGGCCCAGTCCCCATTCTGCTCCATAGCCCCAGCTCTGACACCCCAGTACGGGGTCTTCATATGAACATGACAGCACTGGACTTCACCAAGCCCTGCCATCCTGGAAGACACTGAAGGCTTACAGCCCCCTCCCTCATGTTCTGAAATGGGCTCACTGCAGAGAAGCCCCTCCCTTTATGACTAGAGGACACTCACAACACCCGTTTGTTTATCTGTGACCAGGCAGGACACAGACCCTCACATTCCAATTCTGTGCCTCAGCAGCGATGAGCTGAACTGCCTGTCCCCACCAATCCACTGGAACAAAATGCTAGTTAACCAAACTCTGGTTCAGCTTCTTTCTCAGACTCCCGAACTTGGCCCCCTCAGCCCGAGCCAGCAGATGGTCCCTCCTGGAACAGGCTGGCCTCAGGGGAAACCTTTTCTACCCACTGCCGCTCCTGGGCTCCCCCACTCCACATCCACCTCCAGTCCTTTCCCTCAGCACTGAGGGGTTCTGAAAGAACACCCACCAGACCAGTAACACACAAGTGTGACTGAGTAGGGCACCCAGACCCACCGGAAGTGGCTCCGGCCAGGCCCCACCTCCCGCCACTACACTTGGCGTACCTGCAGCCTCCTCTCGGCACCTGGAGGGCTGTAGCTCTTGGTTCCCCAGGGCATCCTCTGTTCCCCTCTCCAGGCAAAACTGCTCTGTTGTGGATTCCTGGACAGTCCCTCTGATACCTGACCGCTGCCGGGATTGGATGGCTGACTCACACAACCTCTGTCGGCACAACCCATCCACCCCTGCCCTGCTCCAGGCTCTGAAATACTGACCCAGAGAAGTCAAGCACCCGGACCGTGTCCCACAGTCCAAGGACTCAGAGCCCGAGGGATGGAGCCAGGGCCCTGCTCAGGCTTTCTACAGCAACCCTGGCCTTCCAGCTGATCAGGCTAACTGGGTCCCTCAGAAGAGAAACAGGTAAAGACACAGCTCCACAGCTTATATGCATGCCGAGGGCTGAATCCTGTGTCAGTCTTTAGCAGCTCACACAAACAAGGACAAAGTGCTGGGCTGGCCAGAGGGTCACACTGGGCCACAGGGCTTTTGTCTGAAGGCGGTGGCCTAGGTCCTGTATTGGCTATCCTTTGAGCAACTCAGATGATCAGGGCTCAGCAGCGACAGATGTCAGCAAGCAACCAAGGTTAGAGTGACTCAGAGCATGGATCAGGTTGCATGTATCATGCTCCCAGAGCGCGAACGGGAAGTCAGTGACAATTCTTCCCAAAATCCACTGTGGGGAGGGGTGGGTGCAGCCCCGAGAAATGCCCTGCCTGGCTTTTCCGCCCACTCTTCTGAGCAATAGAAAGAATTCAGCATCCTGCTGGGGTTGAGCAAAGAGCTAGGTGGGGGCCTTATGCCATGATATAGATGGACCCCCAACTATCAGAGCCAAGAAGTTGCTAGACTGGACAGCAGTCTTTGTTGGTAGGGACAGGACGGGGCAAAGCCCAGGGCTGGGAACAGGTGCACTCTGGGCAACTCCCCCAGCCACAATCCAGACAAGGGCCGGGAAGGTAACACCAACTGGGGCTGTGGAATCACATGGCCTCCCTGGCCCCCGGTATATGCTGTGAGTCATGGAAGGAGGGGACAAGAACTGGAGGCCAGTGTGGCCACAGGACAGGTCCTATGGCCACTGGGCAGCTAGAACCCATGGGGCAGCTAAAAGTCCAGCTGCTCCGTATGCTCATTTGCAACGTGACTCCCATAGAAAAATGAAATGTGTATATGGAGTCTAGTGGCCTACAGTCGGGGAAAAGTGCTTCCTGGGAGTCCGGGACGTGGATGAACCGCACAGGTCCACGTGTGTCCTTGCCACAGCCAACCAGATGCCTGGACGTGGTGTCTGACATCATCCCAGACCCCTGGCGCCCACCACCCTCGCCACAGACATGACCACTTGTCCCCAACACAGCTGATGACAAAAGGCGGGTCAGTGCGGAGGAAGATGTATAGTCTGTGTGTGCTCCCAGCCCACCTCTGCCTCAGTTTCCCCAGCCATAAAATGAGGATGACAACACTGATTTCACGGGCTAGGGCACAGAGCATGTGGGAAGAAAGGAATCCAAGGGTACTAGCTAGAAAACGTCAGGTCTGCTTCTGCCATGATGGGGTACCTCTCTCGGGGGTGGGAGTGGCTTCCAACCTGGGCCAGGACCTTAGGAAGCCTGAGCACCCCATGACCACAGTTTGGAGCAAACACGCCAAGTACACGTTTCTAGGCAGAGCCTGCACATTCCATGGGAATATCAAAGGAAGCCATGACCCAAGGAAAAAGGGTGAGAAATGCCTGCCAGCATCTCCTACCTTCCTCTGGGGCCAAATGCTTTTGTGAAGGACCCGACAGGCCTCAGTTCCAGTCCTGTGACTCGGCCTGACTTGCTCCAGCAGCTAGAGCACTTTCATGTCTGCCAGACAAGTCAGATTTCAGTGCTAATTACAGGGTTGTTGTCTGCATTGAGCTCATGGCTTATGATTCTGGGGTCACCAGCTCTTTGGAAACACCCAAAAGCCTTTGCCTCATGTACCAAGAGGCTCAGCCCTGGTGGCTGGCAGGCAGCCAGACACCTTGAATTAGGTGAGAGTTGTTACACAGGCCTCACTGTGACAGGCCTGGTCGGAGTGTCAGGGATACAGTGATGGCTATGTTGTGTGGGGTCCCACACCCCCAGGAGCGAGGTCACTGCCCAGTCAGTGCTACTGGAGACAAGCCAAGTAGCTGGAAGGATGGGGGACAGGGGTGCCGCCATGGTCTCCCCTCCCCTCTCTGGACATCATCCCAACTGAACAACTTATCTGTAAGTCAACTGGCCATGGCTCAACCCACAGACACCAAACCCACACCTCATCCATGCCTTTCACCCTCACCTCGGAGGAGCTGATAGCAGGATGGCATTTCTCTCCCCCAACCCCCAAAGCCCGTGAGTCTGGCAGGGCTGACAGGTGTGCAATGGGCATCTCATCTGCTCAGACCCCAATAGGAAATGCGGCATGCGCCTCTGGCTTTTTCCCTCTTTCTCTATACCCTCTTTTCTTCTTTTCTCTAAACCAGAAAAAAGCAAGTTCCAGGGCAGCTCGAGATGTTACAAGCAAACACCAGATGGAGGGCATGTGGAGAAAAAGTCACAGCCACCATGCGTGCCATCATTAGATACACCATGGCCTAAAGTCCTCACAAACACCCAGGCAGGGCTGTGACAAGTCTCCGTTTCGCATATATGTAAACTGAAGCCTGGAGGTCTCTGTGAATTGCTTGAAACAGAACTCAGGTCTGTCCACGTGCACAGCGTAGGCTCTTTATCCGACACCAGGTAGAAAGTATCTCAGGCCACGGGTCTCCAGAGGAACAACAGCCTATCTGCCCAAGTAGAGTCATGGTCGGGAGCTAACTCAGTCTAGGGGAGTCTTGGCCACCTCATCCATCTCCATGAGAAGGCAGAAAGTGCTCTCCAGACCTCCCAAGGGGCCACCACACAGGAAGGGCACTTGGTGCCCCAGAGTCCCACTCTCGACCACCAGCAAACCACCGAGTGCTCCAAGTAACTTGTGTGTCTGAGTGCAGGGGCTGTCCCAGCAGGCATGGTCTCGCCCTCCACCCAACTAGGAG